GGAATCTTTATCGACCATCTCCTGCAGTTCACGTAGTTAAAACTGGAAATCAGCACATTTTTGTCTTGGTTCGCAGTTGCACTAAATAGACAATTTTGAAGGCGGTACGAAGTTCAAGAATACTTTATGTCCCGCTTTGGAATCCAGCACCTTAAGGCCGCATTTTGAATACCTGTCGCTAATGGTCAAGCTTACCGCGTAAATTGAATAATTCGTTCGTTTTTAAGGTGCTCTACGAAATAGCAAAATAACGCACTGTATTGTACCACAAGAGCAATATATTTACCGTTCCTTAATTTTACGGAAGACTTGCAGATTTGGTCGTTTTGCAAATATTGAAAATATTAAAAATTTCGTGACTGCTCACAACAAATATATAGTTTTATTTATTGTTACGTTACTTTGTATTAAAGCACTGCAAATGTACCAGCAGAAATACTATTCACATGTGTACATGAGTAAATGGAACATATATTTTAGAGTACTTAAAATGATAGGAACAAAAAAAGAGAAAATCATAAATTATAGGAACTGAGCAATGTCACTCAACAGCACTCTGTTACATAAAACACTGTTCCGCTTTTCCAAAGTACCTGAGTATGTGGATTGCATTCAGTAGTATTCGTGAACTTCATAGGAAGTGTAGGAATACTTATGAAGTTTTTTCTTTTAAAATTTTAGCATTTAACATAATGTTAAGAAAATACATATATTTCCTTTTTATTCCAATATATACTTAAAATATTGTATTATATTTAAAAAGCACCGACGCCGGCATTTCTCGCCGGACGCTTCAATGTTTGCAAAAAAGTTCAAATCTTACATACCAATATGTATATGTACATAACTACATACATATGTATGCATGATCCAACTACACAAGATCTGACAAGATGAAGCAAAAGAAAAAAGTAATTTTCTGTCTGACGTTTGTAATTTCGGCGCCATGTTACTTTCTTTGAAAAGTAAACAAAGAATATGAAGACGAAGCATTAAGAAAAAAATGCAAGCAATTTTGTAGCACATGTTTGCGCTAACGGGTTGGCTTTCCAAAACTGAACCAATCGAGATTTCAGCGAAAGTATATAGAATTTAGTCATGAAACTTGGTCAGAATGTTGGGGGAGGCTTTCTCTACATGAATGTATCACTCCCACTAAGTAGTTGCTAATATTTAAACAGATTGTTGTTAAATAATCTTCACTACCACCCCCAAATTTTTGTACAAAATGGCACTTATCAATTGTATTTCGGTTGATATACAATATCTTAAATGTTCACGTGCGTATTTTATCCTTTAATATATATATTCATCAATTAATTAACTAAAACGCGTTTATAAATCCGTTCACTCGTTTTTGCACTTTTCACAAACAAACAGAAATAACAATGGCCGACAGTAACAGCAAATGTGTGCTGCCATACTTCTCGAAGCTATAAAATACAACTATAAACCATATCATTTTCGTTTTTGATCCAAAATTTTCGCCTGCAGGGCTTTTTATTCTGCCTTATCCTGAGTTTCACCTGAAAAAAAATTCGGCCGAAAATTTGTCATCCGCCCATAGTAAAACCATGGAAACCAAAAGTGAAAAGTGAACCGGTTCGGAGAAAATGAAACTCATGATAAGGCTGAGTATAAAATCGTTACTTCGATAAATAATGAAAATTTTTAATAAAAAATCGCGCCATTTTTTATTAAAAATTTTCGCCTGCGGCGCTTTTTATTATAAAATCGATACTTCGATAAATAATCAAAATTTTTAATTAAAAATCGCGCGATTTTTTATGAAAATTTTTCGACCACGGCGGTTTTTATTATAAAATCGATACTGCGATAAATTATGAAAATTTTTAATTAAAAAATTTCGCCTGCGGCGTATGTGCATTTTTTCATTGTTTCCGTTTTGTGTTTTTTTTTTAGCATTTTTTAGTATGTATGGCAGCACCTGCATTTCAGTTCAGTTGGGTACAAGGGAAAAAGTGAGGTTGAATTCGGTATTTTTTGCAACTTTAAATGCGAATTACGTAAAAACTATAAGCCTCAGGAGGTTGGGGTCTTCAGATTTAGAATCTGAAAAAGCTCCTCTATACTCCCTAATTTTTTGTTTTTTCCAAAGCCTGGATCCGTTTTGGAAAATTTTCCCCTATATGCATTATTGAAAATCGCTTAAAAATCACTGAAATAAACCACCGACAAAATACACATAAAGAAAGAAACAAAACAGAAATAGCAAACTTCAAAATTACGAACGTCACACACTTTTTTCTCAATCTCTATTACAAATGGCTGCTTCTCAACCGGTCAGATCTGTTCTAATTGGTTCGTGGTATGTATGTATGTATAGATACCAAAAATATTTTCTTATATTTACTTTTTATTTTGTAGTTTTATTTTTATTTTTTTTGACAAAAAATTATTATGTGCTTAATTGTCAAGTAGTATGGCGCTCGAAAAGTGACAATTAAACTACCAAGGCGAATTTATATAAGGTGGTGTTACTAGATCAGCTGATTTTGTGTATGTGTTTCGCCTCCCCGTTTCTTATGTCAAATTGAAAAATTTTTTTTTAATTTCCACAAACACTCTTACAGATTTTGACAGTTTATGCCGCCAAAGCAAAAACAAAATACATGTAGTTATTGTACTCCTGCTATCACCTTATATAAATTCGCCTTGGAAACTACCTTCTTTTTTACCTCGCTTTTATTAACTGGGGATGTAACTATGTAATAATGGTGCGCATAAAAGATACAGCAATTTCCATTATCAAGTTACATACCTGATGCGATGATAGTGCGAATTAGAATTCCATTTTAAAATAACCGGATGACAGTACAAATGAAAATTGCAAAGATTGATTTCGCGTGTTATTATTCGTTATAATAGTTTTAAAATCAATTGAATTTAAGACTAAAACGATGAAAATAAAATTATAGTTTAAAAAACTACAAACTCACTTTTTTTACAATGTGAACTAAAAAGTAAGAAATAATTTATAGAAGCACATATTTCGTTTAAGAAGAATAGGAAGTTCCCTAACTTGATTTAATTCAACTTTTAAAACCAACCTAAAATAGGATTAAAGTAATTGACAATAAAATTAATTTTTCCGGGAAAAAAAGCTTGGGATGCTTCTTAAATTTTATAGTCCTGCTATTGGCAATATTAAATATTACTAAACTGATAATAAAAAGTTTAAAGCAACTGATTTCAAGCACCCCACGTTTTATTTTCCGGTAAAACTAATTTTATTACTTTAATCCTATTTTAGGTTGGTTTTAAAAGTTTAATTAAATCAAGTTAGGGAACTTTCTATTTCTCTTAAACGAAATATGTACTTCGACAAATAATTTTTTAATTTTTAGTTCACATTGTAATAAAAGTGAGTTTGTAGTTTTTTAAACTATAATTTTATTATATCATCCTTCACTTTATTGACTGACTTCAACTTCAGTGTAAATTAAACAAAGCAAAACATGATTTTTATGCAATGAAAGCTTCCACAGAAAGTAACGGTAGAAACGAATTTTTGGGTAATCATTCTATTTTTCAGCTGACTACGGTGAAGCATTCTACTTTGCATTCGCTGTAATGAATCAAAGCAGCGAAATTAATAAAATATTGTAGAATATTTTACTATGCATAACCTGCAATGCCTAAAAGAAGCGAAAAAATTAGAAGACATTATAAGGCAACGCGTTCTAGAGCACGTTACCACTATAAGCGATTACCGATGTTTTGCTGGTAATTAAGTAAAAGACGTTATTTGACCAAATATATGAATCGATCTTGGGAGATTTTTTGCCGATTTCTTCCAGCATCGATTATTTTTATTTGGATTCGAATCGATTCAAAATTCGATTTTTTTTTTATTTCGATCTGGCATTCTTACTATGACTAAACAAAACTTTCGTCGGCATTCTATGGGGGTTGATGATTTCATTCGATGCTTAGGAAAAATTTATGTTCTAGCCGATAAATCGAATTGCATCGATGCAATATTTCGATGTATCACAACGAAAAAAACATCAATGTGTTTTTTTCACATCCCTTCCTAAAATGCTTAATTTGCTCTTAATACTTGTCATCTTCATTTCAAAACCAAATGCACTATCTTTAGTAAAAAAAAATTGCATATATGTTTTACGCAAATTATTACTCAGTCATTAAGTACCAAATTAAACAAAATGCAAATTTAGGCAAAAACCGCAAACCGCGATGAAAGGACTTATTTACATATCGCACACCGTCTTCAAAAGAGGCACAACTAAAAAAAAAATTGGCATAAATCAATTGGTAGGACTTTTCTGGCTCAGCGAATAAAAGCCTAACGAACTAACGCCTAATTTTTCGAAATGAAAGAATGCCTAAAAAAGAACGCCTAACAAGAAAGTGAAAGAACGTCTAACTTTAAAAATGAAGGAAAGCCTAATTTTAAAAATGAAAGAAAGTCTTAATTGTTAGGGTTTCTTTCATTATGAAATAACGCCCAATGAAAGAAGGCCTAACAATCCGAATTAAAATTCTTAGAACTTTAAGAAAATATATTTTGGAAGGAAAAAAAACGTATTTTTAAATTATATTGAACTATAAGTTATGTAAATACAGTTAAATTTTCAACAACTATAGCTCTACATAGAGGGCATTTCAGAAAGTTTTCAGCTGCGCTAACTTTTAGCTCATTATGACAGTTCGAGCAAATTTTTAAATGCCGACATGGCAAAAATAATATATTTGGCTTTGAAACCAAACACAACACACATCGCACTATTACTTTCGCCAAAATAATTATTTGCTATGTTTGCATCAACAGTCTCGTCGCCATCATTATTTTCATCCTCGCTATCATCATCATCCTCGTTATCACTGTCATAAGGAAGTCCATTGGTTTCAAATATGTCTTCATCTGGTTCTAGGTCAACACAAATTTTATTTTTTCCGAAAACCATTGATGAATACAAATATGCAAGAATTATTTACACCATTCATGATTTATTATGAAAAGCAATGGTTGCGAAAGGTAAGTTCCCTTTTACAAAATGTTAAAATGAAGGTATTAGTTTTGCCTTTTACAAAATGCAAACACCACCTTGTAAACATTCCGTAAAAGGCAAACAATCAAAATTGAATAAATACTTAATTAGGCGTTTCTTCATTTTTCATTGTTAGGCTTTCTTTCATTATGACGAAGCACCTAACAATTTTTNCACCTTGTAAACATTCCGTAAAAGGCAAACAATCAAAAATGAATAAATACTTAATTAGGCGTTTCTTCATTTTTCATTGTTAGGCTTTCTTTCATTATGACGAAGCACCTAACAATTTTAATGAAGAAATGCCTAAAATGTTAGATATTCTTTCATTATGAACAACCGCCTAATTCCTATATGAAATATTTAGGCAATATTTCATTTTTTTTTAGGCGTTAGTTCGTTAGGCCTTTATTCGCTGAGCCGACTTTTCTCAAATTAGTGCAAATGTTTCTTCATGATTATATCTCTAACTAGAAAATTACTGTTATACCTGTTCTTCTATTAATTGAGTTGAATCTGTACGATCCACAAGCAGTTATATTTCCGCATCTGATTTTGGAATTGTGCCTCTTTTGAAGACAGTGTGCGATATGTATATTGGGACAATCCATGGCAAGTGTTATATCTTGTCTATGTCACAATTTTGCGGTCAAAGTAATGAAATATGCGCATCTGAATGCAAGGAAGGGAAATTATTTTTATTTGGATATTCTTCGTATAAATTTTTTTGTTATAAATAATTTCACAACACATTTTCTTTAGAAAACTTAATAATGCAATCGATTTTATGTATTTTAGTGACATCGCCGGCTTTTACAATTTCCGTTCGCCTGTGTTCCTGGTTCAAAATCCAGAGTGTATTAAAAAAATGACTGTGAAGGACTTCGACCACTTCGTAAACCATACACCTTTTTTCAGTGGTGATGATGACCCACTCATTAATGGTATGTTGACCGTCATGAAGGATCAACGCTGGAGGAATATGCGTAACACACTTTCCCCAATTTTCACCACCTCAAAAATGCGTGCCATGTTCTGTTTGATGAACGAATGCTTCAACGAGAGCTTGGACCGTTTAAGAGAGAATACTAAAGGCGGCAAAACTATTGATTTGGAACTAAAAGGATGGTTCACTCGACTATCAAATGACATTATCGCCTCAACAGCTTTTGGACTAAAGGTCAATTCTTATGAGAATCAGAACAATGAATTCTACACCATCGGGCTGTCAGTTTCAAATTTCCGCGGCAAGCAAATGATAAAGTTCTTTATTGCAACTACTTTACCAATAATTAAGAAAGTAAGTTCTATGTCTGTATACTACGTAGGATTGAATCAAATTTTTAGGGAAAATTTTTAATTATATTTTTAGATTCTGGGATATAGAATATTTGACGAAGAAAAAACCGATTACTTCAAACGACTTGTTATAGATACGATGAAATATCGTCAAGAGCACAAAATACACAGACCTGATATGATCCAACTATTAATCGAAGCTAAAGAGGAGTCTGATCAAAAATGGTCAGACGATGACATAGTTGCACAGTGTTTCATTTTCTTCTTCGCTGCTTTTGAAAACAATGCCAACTTCTTGTCAGTAATTAGCCACGAGCTGATGGAAAATCCAGATGTACAGCAGCGTTTGTATGAAGAAGCAATTGAAGTGCGTGACGAACTAAATGGAAAACCATTAACCTATGATGCTATGGTGAAGATGAAATACATGGACATGGTCACTTCGGAAACATTACGAAAATGGTCTCTTGCCGGAATGACTGATCGTTTATGTTCGAAGGATTATGATCTCACGGATGATGATGGAAACTTGATATTCAAATTTAAGGCCGGCGACTATGTGTGGTTTCCCATAATTGGAATGCATAACGACGAAAGATACTTTGAAGATCCTGATTCTTTTAATCCTGAACGATTCAGCGATGCTAACAAAGACAACATCAAGCCTTTCACCTATTTGCCTTTCGGTGTGGGACCACGTATGTGCATTGGTAAGTTAGAATGCATTTTTGAATTTAATAAATATTATAATTAACTTTATGTATTAGGTAATCGATACGCACTCATGCAAGCCAAAGCTATGATGTATTATTTGATTTTGGACTTCAAGTTCGAGCGATCTCCAAAAACTGTGAAGAACATTATGGACGATATTCGCGGATTCCAAATCAATCCAACTGGAGGATTCTGGATACGCCTCGTGCCGCGCAAATAGTTTTGATTTTTTATCACATATCTAAACTGATCATGGTGGAATAATAACAAGGTGTTGTCAGTAGCGACGTGTTTGTTGTAAATTTGACAAGATCGGCATGCTTATTTTCAGTGCTTCCGATCTTAATTTTTATACTACTATACGTTGGGAAATAGTATCTAAAATACTCCATTTTAGTATTTCGTTTTATAGCGATTTTTAAAGAACTTGGTGTTTTCAGAACGATATTAATATTTAAAATTGCTGGATTTGTATTATTTTTGTCCTCAAAATATAAGATATAAAAGATATCGTGGTTATCAATGGAAAAATACGTACACAAAAATCGTATGGAAAGGCGATTTTTTTATATTAAATATCTTTTGCTGCATTGTCATAATATCGAGCCAAATGGACTACTGATACACTAGAATAGAGCGGCAGCACGGTTAGATTACGATTTCGCTTATATTATCGGTATTTATGTGTTTTAATCTATTTAAAAAATCATATACAGTCTTATAGGAAATTTCTTTATTTTACGGCCTTTACTTTTTCATAACTTACAATATATGTCCAAGCTGTGTGGAGCTAACGATACAAACATATATTCAGGCTTATAAGCTTGTAACTATACATTTTCCTACATTTAATTTGAAATAGTAAGCACATACGGATTAAAAGTAATAAATAATTAGTACCTTTTCTACTACTTTAAAATGCGTGACCGGAATAGACCTGCCGAAAAAGTGAGGTTAAGTTACTGACAACACCTTGTTATTATTACATCATGTAAACTGATAATTAATGCTGACTTCATGTGAATATATGTAAATAAGGTCAATTGAGTTTATTTCCCACCCTGGTGCGAAATAAAGTCAATTGACATTATTACCTTTTCAGAAGCGAAATAAAGTCATCAAATATTTGGAAAAAAAGTCATTGACGCTATTTCCTCATTCAAATGGAAATAGCGTCAACAATGCTTAAAGTATGTCGATTCATAGAAAAAAATGTTGTTCTTACAATAAACATTGGCCCGTAAGTGTTGTTTTTTAATATATGAAAAAGGTTATTGCCAAATCCTCAGTGTTGTGATATTAATCCAAACACAATCATGAACTATCACCAATTGATTTTTTTAAACAAATTTAAATTACGAATATGTAAAAACGCGATGCGAAAAACTAAACGCCTGCGCACAGCTGAAATACGAGAAATATTTGAAGAAAGGGTGTAGAAATGATCCATAACTTGCAAAACATGTTTCGTTTCCACAAAAATAAAGCGAACACTATCCGAACATGTCCAAAAACACCGGAGGAACACTGAATGAATTCTGTGTTTTAAATTAGCATATTTTGAACGAATTCGGAATGTCTAAGATGGAAAAGAAACCAACCTTTCTATAAGGAAACAATTACAGAAAAAGACTTTTCTTACACTGTATTCATGTCTCCGCCAGCAATTTGTGACGACATCATTTAAAAGCAGCTAAGTAGAATGACGACACTATTTATTAGATGGCACATTCAACGAGCCAATGTGCCAAAATGCGGGTATAAACAATTATTGATTATTTAATATCGGAACCGAGATCATATAAGTTAATTGATTGGTTTTCACACACTTTTGAAACA